GCTGTGGTGGCGGCTCACATACAGAAAGAGGAAGACTGGCAACAGATGTTAGCTCAGGCGAATCTTCCTCAGCAAAAAAATAAAATAAAATAAAGGGATCCCAAGGGCTGAATACGAGTAACAAAGGAAAAAAGGAGCAAACCAAACCTCAAGCCTCAAGACATGGTGGTAAAATTTCAGAACTTAAAAAGAAAACTACGAGTTTCCATAAATTCTCATTGCAAGATTGGAAATAAGAGGATGGTGGAGCAACATCTTCGAGATCTAAGAGAAAAAGATTTTGAACTGGGATTCTGAGCTCGATCAGATTCTCAATCAAGTTTGAAGACAAGATAAAGTCTATTTTGAACATGGAAGAACTCGTTTATTTCCCTCCCATCAATATAAAAATAACTAGAGGTAGTATTCCAGCAAAACAACGAAGTCAGAGGAAGAGAACAACATAGTCACAAGACAGACGAACGGCCCAGTGTGACTCAAAGGGAGGGAAGACAGCTGGAGGGAAGGAGGGGCAGCCCATTACCCCCAGAGCTCTGGAAGATTCTAGGCAGCAGCCAAGTTGTAATGACGTGGCCAAATCATACTGTTTAGTTCTGTGGTTGAATAACATTTTATCGTATAATCAACCTATAGTCAGAATGCAGAGGTAACTACAGATATATAACAGAATATAAATCTTCTAAATCTTAACATAAAGATAGTAAATATACTACTAGTATACTAAGTAATATGTAATATATAGTATAATATGTTATATATTATATAATATAATATATTAAATTTTTATTTTATAAAATTTTATTTTGTAAAATAAAAATATATAATATATATAATACTATGTACTATATAATATATTATATATAATACTATGTACTATATAATATATTATATATAATACTATGTACTATATAATATATACCATACCATATATACATTATATATAATACTGTATATTAGAATAGATAATATCAAACATAGTTTGATAAAAATTGTCAAACTAATACAAATTGGAAGGGGAGGATGTGTGCTAATTTCCCCAGCTTTCATAGCAGGGAGTTGATAGATAAATACATAAATTAAGAAAGAGGAACTTAAGTATATTATGTAAGATAATAAATATTGGCTACCAAACAACTAAAATCAGAGACTGTTCAATGTGGTTGACTTTGGATCATGAACCTTGTGGGCAGAGGTGGGGGAGAGAAGGGACACTTTTTATTTTATATCTTGTACACTATGTACTTTTTCCTCAGGTACATTCTTTACTTCTAATTTAAAAAGTAACTAAAATAAATAATGAAATATCTATATAAGAGAATACTATGTGGCAGTTAAAAATAATGGAGTAGATCTATTTATTTTGACCTGGAAAGCTGTCCATTATATAACCTAGGTTAACAAAGTAAGTTTTTAGCACAGTATTGAAAACATAGTATTTAACTGTGTTCAACAAAACACTCAAACCAATAAAATGCAGTCCCTGCCTGTGTTCTCTGCCCTATGCCAAGTGTCCTGCTCCTGGAACATCTTCCCTGTCTCAGACTTTTGTAAGATGAGTATCTCTTTTTGCAGTAGGAGAGACCTGTTTTGCGTATGTTTCAAGTAACAAATGCTAAGTTCTTGACTGTGAGTGATCAGCCCAAAGACTGGCCTGCGTGAAGCTGCTCAGGGGAGGAAAGCTTCACACATAAGTGCCTGGTGGAGAGAAGCCGAGTGGGGAGACAACGTGAGAATTACAGGTGTCGAGGCTGAAAGGCACCTCAGAGAGCTCCCGGTCCAGCCCCCTGATTTCATAGGTAAAGAACATATGTGAGGCTGGATAAAAGGTCACTCCATTGAATTAGTGTCCAGAAAAGAGAGAAATGGCCTTGTTAAAAGCCAGAGTCAGGATGGGAGCCCACGAGAAGTTGAAGGCTGGAACGGAGGCCTGATGCCAAGGCCCCACAGAGAATCCCATGGGGAAGTAGTGGGGGTGTGTGTGAGGCGGGTGGGGGCCCATTTCAGGGGCTGCTGTTGGTGCAGATGTCTTGACTTTGAGGGGAGACCTGGAGAAATCAGACTAGATCACGTTTCCTTAGTGTCCGCAGTAGCTGGAAGGAAGCAGCTTTAACATGGGAGGAGGAAGCATGTCGGGGCCACTGGGGAGGGGCTTGGAGAGGCACTGATGTTTACTGAGCATTTACCATGTGTCAGACATTGTGTGAGATGCTTTCTAGTACGTTGTCTTACTTAATCCTCACAGAAGCCTTATAAGGTAAATGTGATTATCCTAACTGCATAAAGACAATGATGGTTAAAAAACTTAACTTACTTAACCTGCCCCAAATCCCACAGCCAGCAAATAGCAGAGCTAGAATCTGAGTTTGGGTTGGTCTGGTTCCAGAGTCCCTGCCCAAGGACTCCGAGGGCTTCAATAAATATGTGTTAACTAATTACAGGAGGAGTAACGTCTTTCCCAAACTGGGACACAACAATCTTGTTTCCCTTCCTGAACCCTGCATATGGAATCAGCCCCTCTCCCCAGTCCACAAACATCCAGGCACACTGGCTGGCTCTTGGGGACTAGGATTTACGTTTGCCCAACAGGACTCTGAAAATTCCCATCTAGGAGGATATCAGCAGCTGAGGCTCCCTTCCTCACAGCTCTAGCACTGACACTGCCCCCTGAGGACACAGAGCCCTACTGTGTCAGGGCTGGAAGGAGACAGGCTAGGATGGAACACAAACGCAGGGAGGAGGAGAGGAGCTAGAGGCGCGAATTCTTGGTTTCTAGGTGCTCAGCTTCATACCTGACCTCCACCAACCTCAAGGGCACCCTGACTGCTCTTGCTGCCCCTCAGATGCTGCCCCGGCCTCCCCCTGTGTCTCCCTGGGTGCCTCTGCCTCTGCGGAGCCTCTGACTTCAGGCAGAGGCAGGCAGGCCCAGGAGAGTATGTATGTCAGTTAGGGTTTGTCGTTGACACGTGGAGATCATTAAGGAGGCTTATTTTTAAATTGTAATTGCAAAATGTAAATGCTCCCCAAACTGATGTGTAATTGCTACCCCCTCCACCCCAGCCCTTCCCCTCTGGTGCCAGCTTTGCAAGGAGAGAATTAGAAAATAAAAAGGGGGTGGATTATGTAAGCAAAACGATTTAAAAAAAAAAAAAAAGAGAGCGAGAGAGCTAAGAATTTAAGTGAGACAGCTGGCGGCTTCTCTGATTGCCACACTTCCAGCATTAGCTGCAAAAATTGTCCTTGCCAATTGCACCCATCCAGGCAACAGTGTCAACTGTATTTAGTCCCCAGAACAGACCAGACTGGCACTCACTTGGCAAGATAGTTCGGTGGTCAGTGGGTGTGTGTATGTCTGTGTTTTGGGGGAGTGAGGGGGAAGGTTGGGGTGATATTTGAGGTTAACTCTATCTCATCCATGGAAGCCTTCCATTCTACAGAAAGACACAGCCCACAGCAGGAGTTAGCAGTCCGTCAACCTGTTTTCTTCCTTCCCCATAATCTACTGCATAGGGAGGGCAGGGGCACCTCCATTCTCCCAGGCACTGTCTGGCCTGCTTGGACTCCAGCACCCACATCCTCGGCCTGGAGAGAAAGAGGACTCTGCTGGCTAGGTCAGCAGAAAAAGCTCAGTTCAAGTGCGAGTCCCGGAGCAGGCCACTGGACTTGGGCAACAACACCCGTCCACACTGTTCACCAGGAGACTCTGCCCCTTGGCCTTTTTCACACTTTTTTACCACTCCCATCTTCTTCAAGCCCTCACCACAGGCCTTGACTGCAGTGAATTCCCTTCGATATCAGTGCATGCTCAGGCTCCAAAGGTGGTTGAAAAGATTGTCAACCTGTCCCGGAATGGGCATCACCCAACCCACAGTTGGGGTGAAGACTTGACCGCCCCTAGTTATGCCCTTTTCTCTGGCTTACACCTCTAGGAGCCACAGCATGCTCTAACATGCTCCCCACCCCTTAATGCACCTAAAACACAGAGCTCCCCAAACGGCCAGACGGCAGAGGTAGCAGGACAGCATGGCTGGCCAGTTCGGCCACTCCCAGGCACGTGGGCCCCTTGAATATCCGTGGCTTTACTAACTACATACTTGGGAGCTGGCCCAGGAACAGTCACCTTTCTGGTTAACTCTCTCCCTCTCTCCAGAGAAACCAGCTATTTTGAGGAATCTGGCAATGATTAGGAAGTTGGCAATGATTACTGCCCCTAAAATGAAGGCCGATGAATTGTAAGGTCAAGGTGGCCCTAAGACATCAGGGAAACTTACAAAATCCTGGGCAGGGTCCTTTGGAGTTGGGGCCCAATCTCACCACAACAGATCCAGCCCTTATCATGGCATACTGCAAAGAAAAAAGGGTTGTTCTGGATAACTGGATTTCTAAATCCCTGCCTATACTGGTACTTAGATCTTCAAGATCATGAAGTTACTTAGAGGGATTTTAAAAACTCTATCTGATAAGAGGATTAAATGAGATTCTCTATTCAAAGTGCTGTACACATTCTAAAGAACGATTTCTCAGAGTTCGTCAGAAACACCTGGGATGCAGTTTCTTCTGTGTTCATCCAAACACTTGGGGTGCAGATTCCTGGTCTTAACCCGGACTCACAGAATCAGACTCTGGTGGGAGGTCCAGGAACTGCATTTTTAACAAATACCCCTCGGTAATCCTTAGGCAATAAGCTTGTTTCAGAGGGTTGTACAAATGTTCTCGTCACCGTGGATGTAAGCAACAGCCCACCCATCTGTATCAACAACAATTCATTGTTCACAGAGTAAGTAGAAGAAAAGAGAGCTATCCAGGGACAAGGCATAGCCCTCATCCTGTCCTCAAGGAGCTAAGGAGGAAAGACATGAAAAAATAATGCAGTGATGTGTTTCCTAAGGTTGGATATGCTAAGTGTCGGCTAAGTTATGGGCTGCTTCTCAAGGTTTTCAGAAGAAAGATAATCTGCCTGGAGGGTTTAACTATGTGTTAAGGCATGAAGAAGCATTTCTTACTGTTCGGGTGATCCTGGCAGCCTCTAGGATGGCCCTCAGGAGACTCACTCCCTCTTCTCACTTCCAGCTGGGCCAGAAATTCTTCCTGTCAGCTAGAGCCAAATCACCTGCGAAAAAGGGCAGAGCAGCTCTCAGAAGGGAAGGCTAAGGCACAGGGTGATCCAGAACAAGGGGACGCGGGCTCTGTGCACCGGCCCCTCCTCCCTAGGCTGCCGATCAGGGATCTATTTCATTTGCTCTACAGACCTGGCCCCCATGTTTACCTTTCACCTCTCTGTCCTCGGTGTGGCCACTCAGGCCCACCGAGCCATTTTAGAGCCCACACCCTTGTCACAGTTGGAAGTGCCCTGTTGTCACCTTGACAATAGGCATACATGCGGCCCTCTCTCCCCTCCAGTGTGGGCAGGTCTCAGTGATTTCCGGGCCCTGTGTAGACCACAGCTGGCTTCTTCTTTTAAACTGTATGGAACTCAGAGGAAGGGTAGCAGTTGCAACCTTGTCAGGTGGGCAAATGAGTTCCAGATCCTTTCCCAGTGGCAGGCTTTAGCTGGGGGTCTGGGGAGACACAGATGGGGTGGAAAGGAGGGTGCCTGCAGGCAGCGGGGAGCAAGAGTCAAGAAAGCAACAAACCCAAAGCAGAAATTAGTAGGCAAGGACAGCCTTGGCCTAAAGGCGGCTTTGGCTGCACCACTTCTCTATTTACGTTTAGATTAAAGTGAATTAATTTTGTTTCTCAATATTTGAGATGGACCAAGGTGTCCAGAAATTGAGCTTGGTGGTCAGTGCTATTATAAGGCCTGGCCTGACACTTCCAGACATTCATATTAATTTCTCCTTGTGGGTCAGGTCCTCGGGGCCAGGATGGAAGGGTCATGGGATGGGGGTGGAGGCGGCTGCTCCAAGCCTTGGGGAGCATGGGGGCAGCATTGGGGATCATCTCCAGTCAAAAGCTGCAGCCCTACACAAGAGGGAAATGCATCCTTAACCTTCACAGTTCCTTCCTAGTTAACACCATCTTAGTCTCCCTGTAAAAACACATTTGCACCTCAGTAAAGAATGTAATTAACTGGTGACATGACAACAGGAGGAGCTAAACAGTGGCCCGGCTGGGAGCTGCAATGGGGAAATGGAAATGTAGACATTTGCCTGAACGAGACTTTCCTGCCTTCCTTCGGGTGTGAGTGTGTGTGTGTGTGCGCACGTGCACACTGCTGGGAGGTGAGGGTGGCAGAGATACAGCATCCGGGATCCTGAAGGGGCATAAATTCCCGGCTGCAGGAGAAAGCTGGAGCTGCAGGAGATAGGATGGGATGAGCTGAGAGAAGCTCCAAGAGTGGGCAGGCTGATAAATGAATTTCCATTAACAAAAGATCTCTGGGTTGAAAAAAACCCTCCTCCCTACATTCCAGACTCCTCTCAAGAGGAAGTGAGGGATAGAGACCCATTCAAAGCAGCAAGAGGCTCAGGGCCCTCTGGCAGTTGCCTGCCCTGGGGCAGCCACACAGAGGGGCCCAAGGGATGGGACCCAACCGAGAGAGAACGTGTGGTGAGCAACACATTACTTGTCCCACTCCCCCAACCCCTGCTCCAGCCTGCTCCTCCTCCACATGGCCCTGTCTGAATTCTGCGAATGACTCCCAGTTCTCGGGCCCCTCAGGCAGCAAACCTGGGAGACACGTCTGATTCCTCCCTCCCCGAGCCCCAGCTCATTTTCACTCTCCCATCACTCCTCACTTCCCATCCCTTTCCAGTCAGGGAGAAGATGGTCTTCCCTCCTTTCCATCCCCAGTGACAACCTAGAGAGGGCACTCATCCCTGGCCATGCCCCCCAAGCCCCTCCTCATCCCTGCTGTTAGCCCCTCCAGCCTGTTAGCTGCCTCCAGACTGAGCTTCCCAGCAGACAGCTTCATTCTGCATCTACCCGGGGCCTCGTACAAGGCAGACACTGCCAACGCAGCGATGAGCACCCACTGCCCTTGATGGGCTTACAGCCATGTCACCTCCTAGTCCAGAATTTTCCATGACTCTTTACTCATAGAAGGCACCAACAAGCGCTCACTGATTGCATTATACCAGGTGGAGTCTGGCCGCTAACTGCCTTTCTAGACTCATCTTTAACCCATCACCCACAGGCTGTCTACCCTCCATCCAAACACAACCACTTTCCATTCCCCAAACCTGTCCCACAACTTCCCACTTCTCTCACTGCCCCAGTTCTATATTTCTACCTGACCAGACCCTAACCATCCTTCAATGTTCAACTCAGACATTCTGGATCTTTCCTCTAGAGCCAGAAGTAATTTCACCTCCTCTGTGTTTCCACGTAACGTGCTGTTTGTCATTCTCTGAAAGCTCTGCCACATTCCGTTTCACTCTGCAGTTATCTGTCACATCTTTCATCTCTTTCTAAACCGTGAGCTCCTCATGGGCAGAGGCCCTGTCTTATGTCTGCATAATTTTTCAGTTTACAAAGTACTTTCATATGTAATATCTTCTTTAACACTTAAAACAACGTTTAGAAGTTGATATTTTAATAACTCAATTTTTATTACCTTTACAAAATAATATATGCTTATTGTACAAGATAGATAAATAAGAGGGAGAAAGGTTAGTTATAATCCTACAATACAAAGACAACCACACTTAATATGTAGAGAAAAACTCTTCTTTCTTGAAAACAGTATCATACTATATACACTGTTCTGTAACCAGCCTTTTACATTTAGCAACATATCATAAATGCCTTTGCATATAAGGGAAATATATACAATAATTTTAGTGGCTATATGGCATTCCATTTATGGATGTACTATAATCACTCAGCCAAATTTCTATCATTTGTTGTTTAGATTATTTCCAGTTTTTGCTATTATAAATAAATAATGGCCATTGTTATAGGAGAATTTTGATCCAGACTTGATCATTGTCTCAGGATAGGTTTCTAGATGTGGAGCTGCCAAATCCAAAGGTATGTTCATTGTAAAGAAGTTTTGCAAATGACTTGCAGGAGGGCCGCACCCATTTACATGCTCTCTGCAGTATGAGAGAGGCCTTTTTCTTTGCCAGGTGGGTGTTCCCGTTTCATAGATGTGGATAATGAGGCTTAGGAAAGTCAAGCACTGGGCTTGCCCAAGGAAACAGCCAGCAAGCGGCATGTCTCCCGGCCCTAGACATTTTGCTCTTCCAACCTCCCCACTTCTCTTTGCTCTTGTGTTTCTTACCATCCCACTAGTAAGTGCTGGGATCCCCACAGGAGAAGGCAGAGGAGAGTGTGTCCTGAGCTGTGGGGTGCGCCATTCCTGGGAGCTCTGCTGAAGTCAGCGCCACACCCCACCCCCTCATTTCTCAGGTGTCTCAGGCCTGCTTGGCAGATGAGAGCTCTGTTCTTGGGTAGTTTTTTACTATTCCCTCCCCCCCTCTTCTGGGCAGGTGCAAATTGGTTCAATTTAGTCTCCATGTATTAGGAACCTCTCATGTGCTGGGGCCTGGGCATACAAAGGTGAAATGAGTGCGCGCACGCACACACACACACTCACACACGCTCTCCCTGTCTTTGAGGTGCTCACAGTCCACATGGTAAGGAAATAACTGTACCCCACAGTGTGTGGATGATGCTGCTCCTGGCTGGTGGCCTCACCACCTGCTTTTCTGCCAGACCCCACAGGGCAGGGTGGGGGACAGAGTCCAGTCAGGGCTGTGGAAGGAGGAAGCCCTGCCTGCCTGGCGTGTCCTTCAGCCTCAGCTGCTTTTTATCTGTGAGGAGATCAGCCCTGTGCTAACATCTGCCAATCCTCCTCTTTTTTTTTGCTGAGGAAGACTGGCCCTGGGCTAACATACATGCCCATCCTCCACTTTATATGGGACACCACCACAGCATGGCTTGCCAAGCAGTGCGTCTGTACGCGCCCAGGATCCGAACCAGTGAACCCCGGGCCGCCGCAGCGGAGCGCGTGCACTTAACCGCTTGCGCCACCAGGCCGGCCCAAGCCTCAACTTCTAATTGTGTTCTTTCTGGCACTGAGGGGCCGGAGCTCCCTCCTGATGTCCCGCCGCAGCCACATGCTTTTTTGTCTCTCTGCTGTAGCTGTACCTCTGTCCCCTCCCTCCACCCCTAGGACGGCAGTGAAGAGCTGGAGCCCCTCAGAGAGGAACCGCACCAGTATTAGGAGAAGCCAATCACGCTCCCCAGTCAGGGACTGATAAAATACACAGTTGAGAGAGGACAGACTGTCTGAGGTGACACCAGCTTGCCCCAACACGGGGCGCCACTTCAGGGCTACAAAACACGTAGATTTCTCCTTTCCCAGCACTGACGACTACGTAGTTCCCAACAGCCTGGAGAAAGCTTCAAGGCAGAAATATAGCCTGTAATCTCCTTTCCGTCACTGCCAGCTATTCTTCTGAGCATAAGGAGGGCGACTCTGACTTTTTTGACAGAAAGTGCTGAGGAGAATGTGCTGGAGTTGGGGGCAGGAGACTACCCAGGGTGGCAGCCACCCTTCCCATCCCAGTGCAGCTCTGTGAGCCGCACTGCCCTCCACACTCGCGCCTGCCTTGCCCTGAAGGAAGAGCCTGAGTGCGCCTTTTTAGATCTTGGCCAGAGAGCACCCCCCACCCTCCCTTTTGTCGTCTACAAAGTCCTTCTTCTCTAGAGGCTAACGCTGCTGCCCTGACCCTGTGGCTGGGCTTGGGCCCAATGGACAGACAGCGTGACACGCCGGGCGGCAGACAGAAAGATGGAGAGAGGAGAGATGGATGGAAGACACAGGCTCTGTGTGACCTGAGGGCCCAGCTGTTTCAGGGGACAAAGAAGGAAGCAGGAGCTTCATCTTGAAGAATAAGTCTCTTCTGTCCCCACAAAATCCACAGAAAATGCAGTGGCCCCACCCCCAGCTTTTTAGTTCTGATCAGGCCCCTCCCTGCCTCTCCACATTCATTTCACCAGGGCACCCTCTGAGAACACCTTTGGCTGTTTTGCCAACACTTTTTGCAAATGAATAGGACAGCAAAGAAGACTGAGCCTCTGGAATCTCTGGCCAGAAGCTCAAACCAAAGGCCTGTCCCCTGTCCGCTCTGGGGAAGCTCCCACCATGGTATCTATCTCAGG